GCCTATCACCCCCATTCTAAAAATGGAGAAACTTGTTTTCACAAGGACTGTGTCATGTTCTTCAGGCTATACAGCTTGTAAACTCAATCTGAAACCAGAACATTCTGGCTGCAAAGCTTAAGCTCTGGCTCAGCCCATTCACTTAACCTCTCTGTCCCTCTGGATACGAAATAGGATTGCATTTGGCTACAGATAACAGAACCTGACCACCATGGGCTGGAAAGGTGTGGGGTTCATTGCCTTATTTCCAGTGGCAGAGGGCCAGGTACACACTAGAGGCTCAATAAATGTTTGTTAATGAATACAAGAAGAAATGATTTCCTTAAATAATAATTCTGATACCTTGCCTCCGTAGAACACTTTATGGTTCGTGCTCACTCCCATTGCAGGGGTAACGGAGAGGACCCTATGCTGCTCTACCTGTGAAGACTACTCTGTGCAGATGCCGGGACAGGTTTTAATATCCCCATTTTGCAGAGGAAGAAAGGAAGGCTTAGAAACTTTAAAGTAACTTGTCTGAAGTCCAGAGTAGGGGCACCACAGTGTAGAATTCATAGGCCTTTTTTCAGAGTTGGAGGTCAGAACCGCCTCTCCATCGCTCTGCCTTGTCCTCTAAATAGCAGTGTAGAAGCTGAGGTGGTCTTTCTTTTCTCATTAGCATTCTTTCCAAAATAGGGGTAGAGATTTTACCAGTTGGCCTGTTCTGTTAAATGCCATCAACCAGTGGCTCCCACCTTTTGCTCCCCAGTGGCCTGCCGTCCTGCTTGGGAAAGCATGTGTGAGCTGTGTGTTCTGGAGGCAAGGGGTGAAAACAGATTAGGTTCTCTAATATGAGAATAATATAAAAGAAATTTATGGTGCCCCAGAGGGAGAAAATTACAAATGGATGAAAGGTGATTATTTAATGTAGAGGCTCTTTTTTAGAGTATAAAAATAAATAGAAAATAGAGTACAAAAATAATCTGCAGCAAATGGAAGGCAAATGGGCCTGCTTTACTGGTGCCATTTTTAACATTTCCTGCTCTGTTCCTATCCAGCAGCTGTTCAGGCTTTTGCTTATATACCGGTCTTCAGGAGGTTTCTAGAGCTCCCAGTGAAGGAGGGGAACCTCTGGCCCTGTCTTTCCTCCCCTTACTTCTGCAGGTCTTGTCCTCATCACCTCCCTCAAGGCTGTCTCTGGTTATTCCTGCAGTCAGTCCCTGGCCAGGCATGGCCGGGGTGGGCAATGGCTGTGGCCGTGGCCCTCCGTGCTCCCACCACCCAATCAGCCATGCTAGGGCAGACTGTTTCCCTGGCCTGGGGCACACTGTGGGCAGCCCCTGTGAGGGGCAATGAGGGGCTGGGGAGCCTGTCTCCCAGGAAAGCCAGGCTTTTGCTGACACTCACATGCCAGGGTCTTTCCACTCTCTTTTCCCCTCCCAAATTCCAAGAAAATTGTTATGGGCTCACCCTACAGAGGGACACATGCACCCCAGCAGCACAGCTTGGGGTGAGGTTCTGCCCACTGCCCTCTTACTGCATACCTCAGTCTTCCCTGCTTGTACTGTCCTAGCCCTGCCTAGTGCGGAAGCTGCCAGAATGCTCTGTGCAGCCCCTTTCTGCCTTGAAATCCTGCTGCACTGGATGCCACAGCCACTGGCTGTTCCATAAGCAAATGCTTCTCTTGTTTTGCTGAGTCTTACCCTTCATTGTTCTTGAGGAGGCCCCTGACCCTGTGCCTACAATGGTCTCCGACTGCTACCGATACTCTTGACTTAACCAAAACATCTTTTCTCCTTTGCCCTGGGCCTGTTGCCCTCACTGTGTGCTGGTTTCCTTGTTCCCCTCTCTGCCAGGTGAGGCTCTGTGAGCTTTGAGTTTTGCTCTGAGCTTTTCTTTCTGATTCCCGTTCTTTCTTCACTCTGACCTCTTGTTTACACAAACAAGCCCGGCAGCCCCGTCTCAGTGTGGGCATGGAGGAGACAGTTGTTCCCTTTAGGACCATGAGGGGTGGGCTTGGGGGCAGAAAGGCCCAGGCAGCAAGGGAGGACAGGAGGCTTGTCTTCTCCTCATTTTCCTACAGCATGGCTCCCTCTCCACTGTTCAGGCCTCTCCTGGTCCCCTCCTGCCTTGGACTCACCTTTCAACCTGGCTGGGCCTGGGGATTTCTGGCTGGGCTCCACCTCCTCTTGGGAAACACCACCCATGACCTCTCCTGCCCCTCTGCTCTTCCAGCTGAGCCCCCTATGTGGGCCAGGCTTCTGAACACACAGCACCCAGACAGTGTGTCATGGGGCAGGAGGGCTCCCGTGGGCTGAGGCTTTGACTCTGCCTAGCCTGTACTTCAGGTGCTGGCTCCTGGGGACCAGATCTCCTAGCATCACACAAGAGGGCAGGGCATGCACGCAGCTGCTCTGGGTCTGTTTCTGGCGTTTGCTCCCCATGGCCTCCTCCTCTGCTGCCCTCTGGCCAGGGCTGGAGTTTGAGTCTCCCTGACGTTGCATTGCCACAGGGCCTTCTCCTAAGTGTTCTGACTGCCTCAGCATCCCTTAGTTTCTCAGAATACACTGCAGGGTGCCACACATGTTCACAGAGTGACAATAAACACTGGGATATCTCCATTTTCTTAAAACAGAACTCAGTAATACAAACCCTCTTTTGCTGTTTTTCAAAGGCAATGCCATCATGTGTAGAATTTCAGTTTCTTTTGAGTTTAGTCAGAATGATTCAGGGCTCTGAGCCTGGCTGCTTGGGGACACAGATGATCAGGTGTCTGGACTTTCTAACTAGAGGTACTGGGAAATGGGGGCTTCTCCCACTGCTGGGTGGCTTGGTGACAAGTTCCCCCTTCTCAGAGGTCCTGTCTTGGGCCCTGTGTTAAGAACTCAACAAAGTCTTAAAAACGGAATAATCTCCAGAAGGAACAAGACAGAAAATCTCAGAGATCCCTAAAAAGCTCATGCATGAGTTAGAGCACTGACGCACCTCCTCCAGGAGCTTGTGGAGGGCAAGATCAGGGCAGTCAGCACTTCTTGGAGGAGGTGAGCAGAGAGGAGAGTGACTTTTCACAGTAGGCACGGTGTCAGGAAAGGAGCCCATCACCTCTTTTAGCCATGGGGACCAGCATTCTGTTCTGTGAAGTTTAATGCAATCTGTTGCATACAAGGGAACAGAAAAAAAGACACTAACCCTGTCCATCTCTACTGCCATCCACTGATTTTTTTCTCAGTCCTGCAATACTGATGCAATGTGCTCTTTCTGCCTCCCTCTCTCCTTCCTTGTGGCAGATATCATGTGGCCTGTGCCCTGTCTTCTTTCAGACTTTCTCAGGTCACCTTCTTGCAACGTTTTCCACAGCACCACTCCTGCTCTGCACTCCTTAACCCCCTTGTCCTGCTTTATTTTTCTCCGAAGCACTTCTCCCCTTCCATCATATTATTTGCCTCATTATTCATATATTATCTGTCTGTCTCCGCTAGAATATGACCTTTATAAGGATGGGGATCTTTGTTTGCCTTGCTTCTGTGGTATCCTCAGTGTCTAAAAGAATGCAGGCTATAGGAGCTACTGTGGAAATATTCCTTGAATGAATGCATGAATGTAACAAGAATCCTGGAGGTAGCAGGTCAAGGCTGGTATGTGCCCACTGAGGATGCAGTTTCCTTCATGCCCACAAGATGTCTTCTAGGCAGCACATCCATGTTCTGGGCAGGAAGAAGGTGAAGACCAAAGGCCAAAGAGCACATGCCTACTTGTGTCTGCCCTCATGACCACAGAAAGGAATCAGATCCTTCATGGTTAGAGCTACCGCACAGGCCCCCAGTTGCAAGGGATACTGGGACATAGCCACTGGGAACCCATTAGGGTCTGCGGAGAGGGAGAGACTGAGAAGGGAAAGTATGACAACGAGGAGTCCCTGACTGTCATGTGTCCTCCCTGGCTTCCCCAGAACCCAACATGGTCCCTGGCAAGGATCATCTGGCTTGTGAAAGGAAACTGGGAAATGTGTGCCTCCAACGCACTCCACACAGTCAGACACAAAGGCAAGGATTCAGATCACCTGGAAAGAACTGTGGTAAATCTTTTAGATAATTTAGTTAGGAGAAGGGATTTTTCCCCCTTTGAAACTGTCAATTTTCAGTTTCTATACAAATGTGGATATTGTTATCCCTCCTATTTCTACTTTGTAATTCTGTGGAATTCTTTTTGTCTTTCACTGGTAGAAAAATGTCTAATCGGTGCTCAATGCCTCCAGCTTTCTAGAAAGATGAGTCCAGCAAAAATGATGGGCTTGCTTTATTGGAGACAAATTGGGAGGGCATTGCTCCTGCTTCCTCCAGCAGTGCGGACGCCTGACACTCACAGAGAGGTTAGCCCGTGGGGAATCTGGAAGGGAAGTTTCAAAAGGTCACCTTTGGAGGAATTGAAGTTGGACAGTCTTTTGATTTGGAAACTACCTCATTTTATTTTGTAAGAAAAACCAGAAATGGTTCACCAAAAAGAAGCCACATAAAAATGATATGTAGGAGTTTTTGAATTAAAAATAAGCCATAAATAAGTAATAAATCCTTCACAGGCCCATTGGAAATGTATAGCAATAATGTTGTGTTTACTGCCTTACTCCCAAACTTCAGATATTTATTATAATTCAGGGCAATGCATTGTACCAGTTTGGCGTTTATAAAATTCTCATCACAGTATTAGGGTAAGAACCCATTTCCTAGGAAGTATTGTAATAAATTGTAATTAGGGGCTTGTAAACAGGCATAACTCATTGTTTGAAGGAAAAGACATGTGGACAGCTGAGTATTTGTGTGCACATCTGCTCTCTGAGCATTTCCATCAGGCTCGGTGGCTCACCTGGAGCTCATGGCACCCCAGCTGCGGGCAGGGCTCTGCGCCGGGGGCTCTAGGCCGCCCCTTACCGAGGCCGCTTGTTTTCCCCTCTGCTGTCGCCCATGCTCCCCCAATCCCGGCCCCCAACCCCGGCTCCCAGGCCCCATGCTGGTCTCTGTTTCCAGCCCCGCAGGATGTCTGTTTCCCCAAGCCAAGCCAGGCGGCCCACCCGGAAGAGGAAGCGCGGCAGGTGCCTGCAGGCCGGGCTCCCACAGCACAGTGTGAGACCTCGGGCTACAACACGGGACCCGGGCGCTGCTCCTACCCTCGTGTCTTGTGTTGCAGCCGGAGGGACGCAGGTCCGCAGCAGAGCCTGCAGCGCCGCCGGGGACTCGACGCTGCGCGACGCGCGGAGACGGGGCAGCCCTAGACTGTTGGAGGGCGGGTGTAGCGCCCAGCGGAGTGGCGGGCCGGCACCCGCCGCCCGGGCACTGCGTGGTGCGTGGTCCGCCCCGTCAGGCGGGGTGTGGGGGTCTCTCCTCGCCCTGGTCCTCTTCGGCAGCTATGCCAGCTCTCTGGTGGCACACCCGCGGGACCTGGGCTTGAGGATTCTCTGTGCTCCTCACTCCCGGGCCCCAGGTCAGATGGCCTAGGCTCCACAGTGAGGCTGGAAGGGCACCAAGGAAGGCAGTGGATCCCCAAACCCTCTCGCGTTGGTGGGAAAGCCCAGCATTAGACCTGATTTTGAGACAGCAAGTGTTGCAATTTCTGGAGTCGTCTGTTAAAGTGTATTTTCTGCAAGATCATAGGTTAAACCACTGCATCAACTGGGTTTCATTGATAACCTTACTTTCCCTCATGACAGGGGCACATGAGGGAAAGGAAATTAGATTGTACATTTCAGGAAAGTGGCTCCAACAGAAGTAACCAAGCTGGAGGTGGGGGTCAGTCACCACACTGGGGCAGGAGCTGTGACACAGGGTCCAGGGAGTGACCCCTCCCTTCACAGCTGGGCTCTGCAGGTCACGTTTCTACAAAGCACCTGCTCCCCTGGGACAGGACCCCTCAGCCAGATACGTCCAAAGGCAGGCAGCAGGCAGAATTCCTTTTTCCTCAGGGGAGGTCAGTCTGTGTCTTAGTAAGGCCTTCTTTTAATGGGTGAGGCCCACTCACACTACCTAGGGTAATCTGCTTTACTCAAGTCCCTGCACTTAAATGCTAATCTCATCCAAAAAAAAGTACTTTCACAGAAACATCCAGAATAATGTTTGCCCAAAACTGGGCATGGCAACCCATCCAGTTGACACATTAAATTAACCACCATACCTCTCCATCATAATTTCTTAAATTTCTTGAAGGCTGAACATTCCTATGGTCTCCAAACTATATGTCTCCTAAATTTGGTCAGTTTATGAGTCATCAGGCCACCTCACATGTGCTGGTAGTGTGAGACTCAGCCCCCATCACCAAGATACTCCAAAACTACACCAACTGAACCCCATTCACACAAGGCCTGTGTGGGTGTAACAGACCACAGTGGGTATCTTGGGAGGCGGGATGGGTACTTCTTCAGCACAGCAAACCACTTCCAATTGCACAGTAAAACCATTTGGCCCACTCCCTTCTCTCCTCCTTCTTGTCTGTTTTCTTCTACCCCCTCAAAATTATCACTCATTTCTAATAAAAATCAATCTAGATGTTTCTGTTACTTGAATTCTGCCAAACCACACCTCTGGGATCTCTTTCCATTCCAGGGTATTTTCCTACTTAAAGACAATTGCCAAAGAATCTCAGTACCAGAGGCAGGCCATTACTTCATCTTGATCCTCTCAACAACCTGGTTTTCCATCAGTTTGGATTTTATTCTACTCTCTTCCAGATCCATTCAAGAGAAGGAAAAACGCCGAACCTATTTACATTTAAGAACTAGTAAATTTATTATAAAAGAGGAGGCCCTTAAACACCACAAAATTGATGAAAAGTGAGGAATAAAGAATGCTTTTTACTTAGGACCTGGGGCAGGTGTGGAAGAGCTGTCCCCTATGTTACTGCACTGGACCTTAATATCGTACCACTACACAAACAATGTAAGAATCTTACAATAGTATTTAACCTAACTTCTTTCGTTGTGCTATTTTTGTTGTATATTTTATTTCTATATTCGTTACATACCCTTTTTACACTGTTACAACTTTTGCTTTAAATTGTCCACAGTTCTTCAAAATCTCTTGCTTTGGAAATATAGACTCATAGGATATTGCAGAATTAGAGAATCCTATGTATCCTTTACCCATTTCCCCCCAGTAATAACATTTTACCTAACTAGAGTACAATCCCAAACCAGGAAATTGATATTGGAAATTCTGTTAATTGTGCCTTATTCCGATTTCACCGGTTTTCACAGATGAGTGTGTATGTGTGTGTATCATAATTCTGTGCAATTAACCACATGTATAGATTTATAAAACTACACTCCAAGTAAAATACTTCACGACTGAGGAATTCCCTTTACTTCTTTGTAATCACACTCTCTACCTCCACACAAATCCCTATCCTCTTGCAACCATTAATTTGTTCTTCATCTCTATAATTCTGCCATTTTGAGAATATTATATAAATGGAGTCATACAGAATATTGCATACAGATCTATGCAGTATGTATCATGCATCATGTTTGTTCTTGTTTATTGCTGAGTAATATTCCATCATACCAATCTGTTCCTCCATTCACCCACTGAAGGATATATGGACTGTTTCCATATGTTGGCTATTATGAATAAAACTGCTACAACCATTCATAAACAAGTTTTTGTGTGAACATAAGTTTTCAATTCTCTGTGATAAATGTCTAAGCATATGAGCACTGGGTCAAATGGTAAGTCTATATTTAGTTTAATAAGAAACTGCCCAACATTCTTCCAGATTGGTTGTCCCATTTTACATTCACATTAGCAGTGTATGAGAAATCTAGTTTCTTCATAGTCTCACTAGCATTTAATGTTATTTTTATTTTAGTCATTCTACATAGACCGTAATGATATTTCATTGTGTTCTTAACTTGCATGTCTCTAATTGCTAATGATGTTGAACAACTTCTCTCATGCCATCCATGTATCTTTGGTGAAGTGTCTGTTGATGTCTTTTGCTCATTTGCAAACTGGATTGCTTGCTTTTTTACTGTTGAATTTGTGAGTTCTTTGTATATTCTAGATACATTTGTTTGTCAAATATATAGTTTTCAAATATTTTTTCCATGTCTGTGAATTGTCTTTTCATCCTCTTATAGTCTTTTATAGAGAAAAAAGTTTTTAATTTTGATGAAGCTTAATTTATCAGTATGTTCTTTTAGGAATCATACTTTTGGTGTCATGGCTAAAGACTAATGATGTTGAACTTAACCCTAGGTTCTGAAGATTTTCTCCTATGTTTTCTTCTAAATGTCTGATAATTTTACATGCAAGTCTATGGTTCATTGTGCACAATTTTTATATAAGGTGTGAGGTTAGACTGAGGCTTTTTTTTTTTTGTTTCATTTTTGCCAAGTGCTCCATACCATTTGCCGACCAGACTATCCTTTTTCCATTGAATTGCTTTTGTCAAAAACTGGTTGGGCATATTTGTGTGGGTCTGTTTCTGGGCTCTCTATTCTGTTTCATTGATCAGTATGTTATTCCTCCACCAATAACACACTGTCTTGATTACTGTAGCTATGTAGTATTCCTCCTATTTTTCTTCTTTTCAAAGTTGTTCTGGCTATTCCAGGCCATATACCTTTCTGTTAAAGTTTAGAATTAGCTTGTCTTCAGTTGTTTTTTAAATAGTCTTTTATGTCTGCCCACGTCTTCACATTTCCAGTACTCTTTGTCTCTTCCTACAGATCTAGGTCTTTATCTAGGATCATTTCCCTTTAGCTTTTTTACAGTGTGGTTCTCTTGGTAATAAATTCTCTCAATTGTTGTCTAAAAATGCCTGTACTTTGTCTTCATTTTTGAAAGATATTTTCACTGGGTACAGAATTGACTATATTTGAGTTGACTAATATTTTAACACTTTGAAAATGACATTCTACTCTTGTGGTTTTCATAGTTTCTGACGAGAAGTCAGTTGTTATTGATATTGCGGTACTCCTGCATGTAGTGTCTCCCTTACCACATTGGCTGCTTTTAAGATTTTTTCTCTTTTCCTTTGGTGTGCTGAAGTTTACCTACAATGTGCCTCTGTGTGGTTTCCTTTGTATTCATCCTTTTGGGGTTCACTTAGGTTCTTGGATCTGTAGATTGATGTATATAATCCATTTTTAACAATTTCATTATCTCTAAAAATCTTTCTTCCATTCTGCCTTCTTTTCCTGGGACTCCACATACATATGTGTGTGTGTGTGTGTGTGCGTGTGTGTGTATGTGTGTGTGTGTGTGTTAGACTGTTATGTCCCACAAGTCTCAGATGTTCTTATTGCTGCTGGTTCTTAGTTTGTTTATGTACTTCATTAAAACTTTTTTATTAAAATATAATTGACATACTATTGGTTTCAGGTATATATCATAGTGATTCAGTATTTTTATACATTATAAAATGATCCCTTGACAAGTCTAATTACCATCTTGTGTGGTTCATTTTTAATACTTTCTGTTGCTTGCTCTTACCAATTATTTCTTTTTCTGTGTCATCTTCAGTTAAGCCCTCCAGTGAATTTTTTATTCAGATATTGTATAATCTAAATCTTCAATATCTAAAAAAATACCATTTGGTTCTTTATAAGAGTTTCTCTTTTGGAATTTCCCATCTGTTCATCTATGTTCCATCTTTTCCTCTGTTAACATACTTATGGGAGTTATTTTATAAATCCTTATCTGGTAATACCAATGCTGAGTTGTTCATGGGTTTGCTTAATTTACTATTTTCCTTCTTTATTATGGATCCTATACTATAGTGATATTTTCTGAATGTTGGGCATTTTAAATATCCTGGGTTATGTTGTCTTTATCTTAAGATTAACTTGTTCTGTCAGGCAGTTAAATAAATTACTGGCAAATCTACTCTTGATCTTGTAGTTTCTTGGTTTTAGGCCATATGTATATTATAAATTTTTGAAAATGTATTGTAATAAATCTCAGTAGAAAACAGTAGGCTAAGATCTTAGAACTAATGAAGAGTGCATATTTTAGGGCCTAAGAGCCCATGAGGTGGATATAGTCAAGAAATGATGGAGAGACAGGTTTCCTGTCCCTGAATTTATTGGATGAGAGTTTCTTCAGACTCCAGCCTAATTCCAATCATTTTGGACATCAAGAATCTTCTGGGTTGATGGCTGAAAACTACCCATTTTAATTTTCATCAATCACTTCAAGTAATTGTAACCACAATTTGTAAATTTTTTGTATCACAGGTCTTTGTATCACAAATAATGAGGCAAGGTTGCAAAGAGGTTATCTATAAAGATGTTTATTGCAGCATTGTTTGTAACACCCAAAAAGGGAAATAACCCAAATGTCTATCAGTAAATGATTGATTAAATAAATATACCATGAATACTATACAACAGAATTCTGTATAAATAAAATATCTACAATTAAGGGCATGGGAAAAATGTGTCCACTATATATTAACTGAGAAAAGATTACTAAACAGAATATATAATATGATCCATTTTCCATTAATAAAAATGTTGGAGTATATAGATAAAAGTCTCTAAGTATGTGGGTGTGTGTGAGTATATGTGCACATATGTATGTATATATATTTTTAATAAAAGGAGGACAATGAATAATTTTTATTTTATTTTTTATGTTTGCATCAAGCATCCCCAAGACTATCAATTATGGTTGATGATTCACTAGTAGGATTTATAGTACTCAGAAAAGCTGTTACTCTCATGGTTACAGTTTAGTATTATAAAAAGACACAGATTAAAATTAACAAAGGGAAGAGCACATGGAGTCACCCAGGCAGTGCTTATTTCTCCCAGCAGCAATGTGTGACAACATGTGTGAAGTGTTGTCAACCAACGAAGTTCGTAACTGGGGAAGCTCACTGAGTCTTAGTGTCCAGGGGTCAGTCATGTAGGCATGCAGATCCCACATTCCAGAGGTAAGACTGATAGAGTGTGGCCCAAAGCCTCATATGCAAAAATGGCTGTTTACCAAAATCACACTGTTAACCAAACTATCTGGTGTGGCCCAAGTCCTCAGACATATAAAGACACTCCCATCAGACTGGATACTCTAAAAGCTCAAAAATGATCTCGAAGAACCAAACCAAGGGTAAGTCCTAAAGATCTTGGGAATGTGCAGGTTTGAGCAGCCTAAGCCTACTGAGTTAACTCGTTACTGCACAATACTTTTCCTGTTTTAATATTTTGCAATAACCACATATTGCTTTTATCACAAACAGTAATTAAACTACTTCCATTCTGTAAAACATGAAATACATCTGAAATGTTTGTGTGCTGTCATTCTAATATTGTTAGATGTCACCAAATACAAATGCTATATGACAACTTTCTGAGCTCCCAGTAGTGTATCTCAATAATTATAGGAGAACTATGTCATTATGAAGTAACTTTCTTGCCAGGAATTCTCCGAACTTATAAATAGTTTTGTGAATTTATATACCAGAGAAAACCAGGAGCCAACTCTTTTACTTCATTTTAAAGAAAATTCCTTAGTCCATGGTGCCAAATTATCTTCCTGGGAAGTAGTTATAATACATTATAATTAGGGTTTTGAAGCAGATAGTTTTTTCCATTAAAAAAATGTGTATACCAGAGTAAAGGCCTTTGCTGGAGCTGTACTGTTTGAGTTAGAAAAGAGCTACGGTAGAAAATTGGTTATTCTTTTGACAGCTGACAGCTAAGAAAAACTATCTGTTAGTCAGGATTGCGAGTCAAGAGCCCTGAATATTATTCAAACAGGAAAGAATGAACCCTGTAGAATGTTCAGGTGTGGAGAGGCCCCTGGAGCATTGGAAAATATTCTGCATTGCTTAATGCCAAATGAAAATTGATGGATCTCAGCTGATTGCTGATAGTTTTAAAGCTACTTTCAGGTTAGGTTTTCTCTGCCTCAGAAAATGTGGCAGTTAAAAAATGCTTTAATGTTAGTGAGAAAGGGCCCAGGAGCAACATGGATGACTCCATGAGCTCATTCAAAATAATGACAGATGTGGGGCTGTGGAAGGTGCTCAAGGTGTGAGTAAGCAACTCAACAGCAACTCAACAATCTTTTTTAAAAACAAAGGGTCAGAGGTTAGCCTTTGATAGTTTGACCCCATAGAGCTTCCTCCATTCTGTTCCTCTGTCATCTCCAAACCCTGCCTTTTCTCGCTTTCTGTTGCCTTTCTTTTCCTTTTCTCTTGGAATTTCCTTCCATTGCTGTCAGAGCCCTGGGTTCGAGTTATAGTCCTGGAAATTTTCTGTGGCTGCCATCCCTGCAGAGCCTCACCAAATCCAGTTATTTCTAAACTACTGGAAATAGGAGTAATCCAAAGGTGGGTAGCTGCTGGCTGTTTTGTTTGCTCCACATTTCCCTTCCATTATGTGTCCCCAAGGCTGACTTCTATGGGTTCCATCCTCTGAGTGGTCTCACTCTTTGGCTTCTGATTAGACTAGCCAGTGGGAGGCACCAGCAGCAGAGTAGAAGATTGTAAGGGAAAGAGATGGGGTTATTTATTCTCCACACCTGACCCAGCCTGGCTGTTCAGTTCCCATCAAGCAGACCCTCTCTCCCTTGGCTATAGCTCTCACTGGGTTCCAATAACAGCTCCCTCCCCTTGCCCTCGGAGG